CTTTTTTTTYCTTCGSCAGATGTTCTGTAGCAGTTAATGGAGAGAAAGCGAAAGACAATTTTTTCTTTTTCTTTTGTTTTTYTAAGCCGTCAGTGTTGACCCATTTCTGATTTCAGTAAAGTCAATTGTGAGACTTCTATTAGTTTCTGTTACATCATGTTACATGTTACATCAGACCAACCGTAGAAACCCTATATATTTTTAATTCCAGCATAATCCTGTGTAAGACTTTTATAAGGATTTAGAAACTAATGCTGCATTGCAGATCTACCTTTCAACACTGTGTTCACACAAGTCACAGAGATCAATATTTCTGCTGAAATATTGCTAAGGCAGATTGCCTAGTTTTAGTTTCCAGGGTGATTGGAATCTGAATTTTCTCTCTCTCTTTCTTATCTCACCTTCTAATATATTCCTTTTTTTTTTTTTTTTTTTTTTTTTTTTTTTTTTTTTTTTATTCAAATGGGAAATCCATTTTATAATTCTTGAACTGCCAAGTAGTCTCTGGAGAATTTCTTTCTCTTTGAACTACTGACAGAATTGTAGAGCGTATGAAAGTCCCCAAACACATTTAGATTAATGAATTTTTTGGCAGCAGTAGTTCTGGGATTTTCAGTACTGTGTATCTACAAGAACATTTTACTGGTTTCCATATTTAAAAATGACAAGCAGCTGTAAATAATCAAAACCATGAAACCTATTACAGAGACATTGCTTGCTCTTCCATAAGAGATGCAGGAAAAGAGAAGGATGCTATTTTTTAAAGAATATTTCAGGCTTGTTTGCAAGACATTTTATGAAACACTTAAACTTTCCAGCAGTTATTTTTCCTTCCAGATGGCTATGACTTGCATGAACTATTACGCATTTTAAGAKTAACTACATAATGTTAGCGCGTGCCCAGGAGAATGCCATTATCTTGATTCGCAGACCTGGAGTATGACATGACCTACACTCACAGTATGTAATTAGTAGCTGCTAAACTTTTTGCATTTATATTTTAGAAAATAACTGTCTTTATAAATCAAGTCTGTTATAATATACTTCTGAGTTTAACCAGAGAGATGCAGCCTGACCTGAAAATGGCAGTGGTTAGTTACGTTTAATTGGACACTCGGTCTCATGTTAATCACAGCCCTTCTGTTTCCAGGAAACTACAGAACATTTTAGCTGACAGTAGCTGCAGAAGTGAACAGTAACATTTTACCATGTTTGCCAGCTTGTCGCCAGGAAAGTGATATTTTAAAATACTTTTTCCTCCATGGTTTATCGCTTCTAATGTACCAGGGAGTCTATCTAGAAGGATGTGAAAGCCTTTTAAAAGCAGTAATGATGCATTGGCTTATATTTCAGTGGAGGAATTAAGATACTGAAGGACTTGATTGTTATGTTTAATTTCTGGCGACTCGCGCCAAGAGACGTTAATATTCACCSATTCATTTGTTATCCAGGATCATTTCTAGCAATAAGTCATTTTAATAGGAAAGGAGAATCAGAATTTGAGATGAGTTGACTCAATTTCCCTTTTAGTTGATGATAGTATTATTGTAGTGTACGTATATAATGATGGATTTACATGGCCTKTTGGATTTTCATGAATAACTCTCATAACATTTCCAATGATAGGTGATATTATAGTTACAGATGGGGAGAATGAGCCACAAAGACTTCAAACTACTCTTTGCAGCAGTGAGGTTTCGCTCTATGTGATTTGAGTCTTTAGATATAGCCAATCTACACTGAATGTGTAGGGGCTGCGACTGAGTATTTACACTCATAGTAAAGAGCCACACAAATTGTGGGGTTTTGCCCTAACCTGGGAAAAGATGACATTTTGTTCTGTACCCTCTCCAAGGCATTACTGCCTATGTTTTTCCTGTGTGGTTTTTTTTTTTTTTTTCTTTCCATGTTACCTTTTTCCCCTCAATTAGGATCTCTTTTTTTGCGGGGGCCTTGAGCAGCTTGGGAGATTGGCCATCACTGACAGGAAAGCAACACATTTATCTGCACAGCCTCTGACTTACAACCCTGGGGATGCATCTGCAGCAATCTGAAGATCCCTGTGGGTCAGTCTACTCTTAAGCTGTATTGCGTAGAAGAAATGCGTTCTGTTGTTCTCTCAGTACCTGAGACCAAATACTTAAAACTGTCATCTTTGCTGTGCACAAAACGAGTACTTTTGCATCCAAATGAAATTTATAAAGTCTTTGTAAAAATAAAATAAATCCTGTCAGCAACTTACAATTAGAGTATCCTGGAGGGGTGTTTAAGGTCTACATTAAGTGACTCACAAAGGCTTCATGGCAAGAGCAGCTCTTCCTCTTGCTGAGCAGCATGCTAGCAATAAGGGGCAAAATACTGCGTTCCTCATGGGATGGCGTGTTTTCCAGAGAAGCCTGAAGCATTTCCAAGAGGTCTATCAGGAGCTTTTGAATGACTGATCGCTGAAACTCAGAAGATTTGTCGTGAGATCTTAGATTGCCCAAAGCAGACGTAAGCACCAGATGATTGGCATCCTCAGCCCTTGAGAGATCCATGTTAGTCCATGCAGTGGAGGGCAAGGATTTGATTCCTCAGAAGCAATAGCAGGCCTGGGATGTTGGCTGTGTTGTGGCTGGCATGCTGACAGCTGTGTTACAAGTTCAGTTGCTAAAACTCAGGCTGCTGGTCTTGCCTGACTCAGCCATCACTGTGAATACTAAATTAAGCTTTTAAGCAGCATTGTTATTCAGTACTGTTGTCTTTTCATTTTTATTTCTTTTCCATTCACTTTTGGGTTAGTTTTTCAACTTTTATTGTTAGCAAAACTGCTAACAATTCTGCTGGCAGCTGGTTCCACAGTTTGTGTTGTGTAATTTTTTTTCTTTAAATGTCTAAAAATTAGACATATCATTGTTATATCATTGTTTCCTTTCACTGAATGCTACCTTCTCTTATTTTGTGGTACAGAGAAATATTACATTTCAGAATGATTCTTCCATACCACAAYGTATGGAATAAGTTAATATTTCCTTTCATAATTATTCTTTCTAAGTAAAATAGAGTTCATCTGTTTGGTCTCTTTTCATAGGTGATTTTTCCCATGTTATCAGAGGTGATTTTTCCTATATTTTCAGTGACTCTCCCTCTTCCTGAACTCCTTTTAGCTCTCAAAACTCTTTTGAGATGAGTCGATAGTACTGCAGCAATGCTATACATGAGCCTGTGCTCCTGTTTTGCTATTGACTTTGTGCTTATTTTCACATACAATTTAAACACTGCTAATGTGTCTTTGGGAGAGGGGGTAAGTAGTACCTAATGGGAAACATGTATTTCTATTCTTTGATTTGTAAAATGTAAATTCCTATAATTTCCTTCTTGTAAAATTTAAGTGAGAAGAAGGTGATTGATGCACAGGGAGAAGGAATTGGGAGAAGGGCTTGTTGGTCCTTAGAGAAAATCACAAGAGGTAGAATTTAACCAGCTTCATGTTTACCATAGCAACAAATCTGGCCGTTTGCTTATGAAACCCTTTTCTCATGAGTAACATAGCAATGTATACGTGCTTGAGTATTCTAATTCTATACAAGATTATATATGTATGAGTATATATGTAGTGTTCAGTGCTGGATACTCTAATAAATAGGATTCATTTATTTTAGTGGGTTTGGCTTGATTGCATGGTGTGATTACACCTGGTGATTAGACCTTGCGTGTTCACTTGTATAGGATGCAGCAGATAGGAAGAAATAGTAAATGAAAGCTCAATACCGAAACAGGAAATGGAGGATTTTAGTCACAATGATGAAACCATCAATATTGAATGGAATGAATAATTGAAGCAAAAAATCTCAAAAACCTTTTAGCGTACCTGTCAGGAACACCAGAGACTAATTCACAGGTAGAAAATCATCTTAGCTRGAAGGAAAACAGTGGTGATGGTATAAATAGCATTATCTGCCAACAGGTGATCCCTGGATTAAAGTTAACCAGCACAGCCTGAAGAGTCATAAATAGATACGGCTCTATGCTAGCTCAACAGTTATTTATGTCTTGTTTGTGTTGAGCCCCTCCTGGCTTAGATTTGCCCCAGTGACAGTCCCAAGGACTATCCCAAAGCATATTCAAAGCTATGCAAAGAGTATCATTAACATAATCTTTGATTAAAGCTTTTCTAACAGAAAAATGCTCATAAAATAGAAGCTAGTCAAGAAAGAAGAGCTAGTTAAGAAAGAAGAAGTGTATTTTTCATTTTAATTATATGGTATTTCTGATAATTCAGATATTAAGACTTACACTGCACTTACACTAACACATCTCTGGAATTAGGACCCATAATGTTGACTTTTTAAAATATATATCCTGCATGCCTCTGTAAGACTTCTGAGTTCTTTATATCTAGGGACACGATAACGTGACTAATGAGCGGTTGAGGGTATTGGAATGTGTGTTTCCAGCGAGCTGTGAACTACCCCTTTTACGAGTTTGGTTACTGCACTTGCTGYAGGAAGTTGGAGCTGAATACCCAAAGCAACTGCGGCCTAAGATTTTTCAGATCACGGGGAGCAACAGCTGTTTATTAAGAATGTTTTAGCAATTGCAGCTGAATGCAGTTTTAGTGGGATAAGCCTTAATTGACTTTACAGAGCACACCAAAAATGAGCATTGGTTTATATATTTACATATAAGACATTCGCTTATAATATTGAGGCAACAGTTACATGAGAAACCAACGGTATCGATGCTAATTGCACAGTATAGTGTTTGGATATACTGTATTTTCAGGCAGTATCTTTTCTCTTCTTTTGGCAAATAGCTGAATAGAAGTGACTATTTGTTTAGCTGGAGTTTAGGAAAAATCCAGATMTGCCTCCCTGAAAGATGTGCATCCCTGGGAGATCTGCTTCTCTGGGAGACCGTSACCAGTCGCAGTAGCAGCKATCTCTGGTGTGTGGTGTGACCCAGCCCTCGCTCTGCTGTTGTGTGTTACTCTAACACGTGCTCTTCCTCGCTTTTTGCAGGGGAACCAGAATTTAAATATGTTGGGAATATGCACGGGAATGAAGCTGTCGGAAGGGAGCTGCTCATCTTCTTGGCTCAGTACCTGTGCAATGAATACCAGAAAGGAAACGAAACTATTATCAACCTCATCCACAGCACGCGTATCCACATCATGCCGTCCTTAAATCCAGACGGCTTTGAGAAGGCAGCATCCCAGGTTTGTAAGGTTGCTGATAGCAAGAACAGTTATAATCATCATCAAAATCATAGTAATAGAACTTGAACTAATGATTTTGTAAATACAGGAACTTTCACCAATGTTATGGTGATTGTCAAATGGACCAACATAACTCCAGTATTTTCTAATAGGAGCGTAGCCTTGTTCTGTTTAATAGTGCAAGATAGGTACCTGGGGTAGTAGTATGAATGTTTTCCAACACATAGACATTTCTGTTTTAAATAAATTCACTATATTTTAAAATATTAYAGTTTTTCCCCCACACRTATACTTTCATCCAAATTCACTGTCTAAAATTCTTCCAAAACAGTTATTGTATTACTGATTGTATTATGTCGTGTTTCAAACATGGCAGAAAGGGATATTTCCATTAAAAATATTCTCATGTAAATGTGTTTATGCATTTTCTTCACATCCTTTAGAGCTGCGGCCTAAACCAAACAAACTCTGTGAGCCATTAAAAAAAAAAGTTAATTTTAGGCATGAGATACTTTTAATTAAGCTGTTATTCAGAAAAATTTAACGTCTCATTTAGGATGAAAAGCAATCAAGAAACATGATATGTTACTGGAGAGTTAGAAAATGGAGGTCAAATAGGACTTTGTTATATATATATATTTTATTTTATATGTATTTATGTTGTAAATAAAAATGACAGTTTTCTTGTTTTACAAGATGTATGGATTCTTTTTATTAATATGAAAATGTTGACTATTTCTGTGCAGCTTTCTATTTATGATTAGGTGRTTTGTGTTTTATTAAGCTGCTTATGGAATCGGTTATGGTTTTTTAACAGAACTTTTAAAGCATATTTGATATTATGACTCCCTCTAGTGGCAGTGAAGCAAAAGCTGTCCTTTGATTAGGCAGTATTTTGTTTGTTTGAAATCTCTATCTATAGACATTCTAATTTAGAATTTGTGAGAAACTTTTGCTCTTGAGTCAGTGTATACTTGCTTTTATAGAAATGCCATATTGTACTGCATATATTCTATGTATGTATTATATAATTAATTATTAGATATTATATAATTAATATTTTAATACAATTTACTTCTGGGCCACTTTTGTTCTAACGTAACCATATATTGATAAACTACAGAGTACTGAAAGAAAAGACAGTTATAAAGAGCCTAGAGGCTTATAAAGACARTTATAAAGAGCCTAGAGAAAAATCTGCACTTAGTGGAAATTGAAGGCATTTTCTTGATCCAAAGATCCAAAAAAAAAACTCCTTTAGAGAACTAGCCTAAAGAAAAGATTATGGAAAAATTCTTGGTGTCTGTTTGTCTGACACCATCATTTCTCTGAATGAAGCTGACAGACGCCATAGCAATGAAAACCTCAGGAAAAAGACTAAGATCCTTCCTTATCCTGAAACCACTTAGAAAACTTTGACATTAGTGCAAATGTTCTTTGCAGCTGCCTGATAAATCCACAGCTGCCCTTGGACTCACAAAAGCATAGTGTGTAAATCATGACTGCAGGCATAAGGCTGAGGGGAAAAGCCAAGGCCTGGTGGAAAACTCAGAATCAACCAAGTAGGCCCTGCAAAAACCTGGTGTTTTGGGTAATTTTGTCATGTGATCCCTTCTTCTTCCCAAAAGCATGAGAAGCAAAATCATGATTTGAATGTATATGGGTATCTCATAGCTTGATTGGAAGTTCCTGATTTCCCTTCGCTTTTCTTTCTTCTTTCAGCCCGGTGAACTTAAAGACTGGTTTGTAGGTCGGAGCAATGCCCAAGGAATAGACCTAAACCGAAATTTCCCTGATCTTGATAGAATAGTCTATATTAATGAGAAAGAAGGTGGCCCCAACAATCATCTGCTGAAGAACATGAAAAAAGCTGTAGATCAGAATCCTAAGGTAAGCAGTGACTGCGTATCAAGTCACTTAAAATCTGTCCATCCATCCATCTACCCAAAAAGCTATCCCATTTTTACGAGCAGAAATATAGTAAGTTCTAGGAGCTATATGTATGGTAATTCAAGATCTTGTAARTATTTTGTTTATTTTGTTACTTAAAATATATTCTTACTGTTCTCTACCTTACYGTTCTCCTCAAAAATTCTTTTTGTTGTAAACCCTTTTTGATTCATATTTGTTAATCCTTAGAAAATTCCTCATTTAAAACATGTTTTATTTTTAAGGCTAGAGATTACGTTGACATCTTTCTTGTTTTAAGAATATTCTTGCAGATATTCAGCATTTTGACACTGCCAGAACTTCGCTGTGTGTTGTGTTTAAGTTCACTGCTGGCCAGATACTTATTCCTACATAAAARACAAGTATTTTTGTTAAGCAATTGGTATGCAAGTTTTTCACATCTGGAGGAATTTTTACCTTCTCGTGTTTTCYAAGCAGGAGGCTTGAGAGATTAAAGCTTTGTGACTACAATCTCATAGGGTTCTAACAACCRTATTCTGGCCTCAGATTCTAATTATTAAATGAAATAAATCTGTTTCCATTGCAGAGAATAGAGTACCAAGAGTAATTTAAAACTTATTTTACAAATTTAAATTTGCCATACTGTATATATATTTCTAACTTTAATGGAGAAGGAGACCAGCATTGAGATTTCTTTTTCCATTGTATCATTTTGAACTAATTTACACCATTTTTCGGCAGTTATGGAACTGCTTAGTCTGTTTAGTCATAGAAGTCTGATCTGGTTCTCTSTGAAGCCAAAATAAGATTGCTTTTCATATAAATAGCTGGCCCAATGTATGTGATCAGAATCAAGCCCCAGGTCAGCTTCTGCACTGAGTGCTGCACATACTGTTTTGTTGTAGCTTGCTCCTGAGACGAAAGCTGTGATCCACTGGATCATGGACATTCCCTTTGTGCTCTCTGCCAACCTGCATGGAGGAGACCTCGTGGCAAATTATCCCTACGACGAGACTCGCAGTGGTATGTAGGACACATCTAAGTTGTGTTCTATATTTATTTCCATTTAGGTCCATTTTGTAAGTGCTGGTACATTATAATGAATTACTCTAGTATATTACTCATTGATTACTTACATTTTTAAAGTTCATCACTGTCCGACTGTGTTTTCTGGTTTTGAAGATGGATGGCTATTTTCAGTAGAGTTGCATCACAAAACKGATGCAATACCTGAGAGAATCCTGGTCCTTCATGTAGGTAATCAAGGCAACCTAGATCCAAAATTAGTTAGGGCTGTTTTTACCCTTTTAATTGAAGGAAGAGACTTGTACCTGGGCCTGTGTTTATGATATAAAGTTTCTCTACCTGTGCCTTTAAATAGCGAATTTCTGAAAGTAATAATATGCCAATTGAAGCGATTTTAATTGCTAACAATCTGCCTTGTGGATTTGTTGTTTTCCCCAGGCAGTGCTCACGAATACAGCTCCTGCCCTGATGATGCTATTTTTCAAAGCCTGGCTCGCAGTTATTCTTCTTTTAACCCYGCTATGTCTGATGAAAACAGGCCACCGTGCCGTAAAAATGACGATGACAGCAGCTTTGTGGATGGAACAACAAATGGGGGTGCCTGGTACAGTGTCCCGGGAGGTGAGTCCCACATCGGGGGCTTTCGCTGCCCCTGCAGATTGCTTTAAGCTTGGGTTTTCACCCATTTCATTACAGACTGGTGTGTCACAAGGTTACCTGCCATTTTTGGTGTGGTTAAGGCCAGATCTTCTGAAGTGATTGTAAGGTAAAATTTCAAGCCATTTCTGAATGTGACTGAAAAGCCACAGCTTCGCTTTGTGGAAAGTTCTCCATTGAATTCAATTTGGAACCATTAAAAAAAAGAAAAAGTAAGTTTGCATGATTTGAAAAAAACAAGTCTGAATATAAATAAAATATTGAAAGACTTAATGGCTAACACTAGTTTCGTTTTAGTCAAAAAAATCTTAATAAAATGTTAAATCTTAGCTGTAAAAATATGGATGTAATTTTTCCCTTGGGAAAATGCTATCACAATCAGTATTTCCATTGTTCTGATTGTACCTTTTGATTCTGACTAGATTGCACATGCCAATGGCATATTTTCCATTGGAAAAAAGTATTAGAGATTTGAAAGAAAGACAGTAAATTTCCCAAGTGAGCCCTTCCTTTTTCTCATGCGTTTGTACAATGAGAAAGGAAGTAGGTTAGTGAAAAGGAATCCTTGTTCTGGCTAGGATCTGTGAGCCCAGCATAGTTTACCTAAGTAAAAATAGTGGGATGACAGTAGACTTAGGACCATACAGGATGATTCTGTTCTTTCAAAGGTAAAAATCAGCTGGCAAACTGTAGCAGTTGAACAAAACATCCATTCTATTATTTGCCATGGTATGACTTAAAAAAAGAAAAACAAAAGTGATTCAGCCAAGACAGTTCTGCTGTTTCCAAATCTAGTGCTAAGGAAAACAACTGCATATTATTTAGTTCCAGTTAAAGTTTTCTTCAAAACTTTTGTYTCAAAAAATCTCTTGAGTTTTGCATCAAGGAACTGAGATGCAGCAATTAAGTGAGCTTTCGTATCAGGGATCTTCTGCTATGTCTGTGGTAACATACTTGGAGTAGTAGTATAAGCTGCTGGAAAGTAATTAGTCTTAATTTTGGAAAAGCATTTAATTACGCCAGAGTTTACAAGGAAAACTCGCTGAAGACCTTCCCTACACGGTGTGTGCTCCGGTTCTGAACCAAGGGGGATCTTCTCTGCCTTGGCACCGCTGGGTTGCTGTAGGCTGCTCTGGGTCCTGCTACAAGATGTGACCTGCAGGTCAGACTTGTCTCCCTGTGTCATCTCCTTGGACTGGATGGAGACAAAATGGAAGGTGACTTGCCTCAACCTTATAGAGAAAGGTGGAGAACAGGAAGCTTGCGACTGGACATAGAAAATAGGTAAATGGGGGTACTGAAACTGTATCTGTGTAGAAGGGAGTGMAGGGCTTGAGCAGAGGTGAGAGAAAGGAAAAGGGAGATCCCTTTTGTCTAAGGGAGAGATGAGCTAAATGAGGTGTTCTGGACTACTTCTATGACAGTGCCTTATTTCTTTCTAACCAATTATTAGAGTTGCTGTCGCTCTCGAGCTTGTGGTGCTCCCAGCTGTGCCTCATCCTACAAATTTCTCTCCATCATTTGCCCACAGGGACTTCTACCTTCTGTTAGAGACAGCATTAYGTGGTGGATTGGTAGCAGTTGCTTCTGCATGTGGTTTTCCAGCATGTCTGATGTTTGCTATAGGAAGACTGAATGTCTGGTGTCAGAAATGTCTGCTAGCAACTGTTGTCTCAAGCTAGGATCAAGGATGTACTCTCCACTGARCTCACCTTCTGTGCTTACCCTCTTTGTAAAGTCTCAGAATTTCCTCATCAGATACCCCTAGCCCTAGGGAAGGCAGCAATTCTCTATTCATGTTTTGGGGTAGAGAGAGCAGACWCTATAGAAGGAATATTTGCCACCTGCTTCTGTGTTTTGATTCACCTTTCTAACAGGAGATTTTCTCACCATTATCTACTCAATAGTTCCTTTCTTCTGTGGAACAGGGACCCAGGGAGGTTCATTCAACTCTCCCATGGGATGTTTGTGCCAAATCCATGGCCATGTTGCCGTTACACTTGTTTTGTGTTAGCTGTCATCCCTAATTAGTTGATACTTGTTTTTTCAGAGAGGAGCAAGCAAAGGTGAAGAGGTTCTTCTGTGTTCAGGAAAGGCTCTTTCAGCCACCAGAGCAGCCTGGGAACAATTGAGCTTGTATTGAGAATCAGTGCTGTTTTAAACACAGGTCTTCTCCCTCTCATCATGTAATTAACGACTTCACTTATGCACAAGAAAGTCAAATTGAATTTGCGTAGACAACTTTAATTCTCTTATTTCCTCAGCACATGAGTGCCTGACTTCTTGATCCTTAATAATCTTTGAATAAACTTTTTATGTGGAATATCTATTTGAAAATATAAATGAGAACAGCAGATATTAATTAATTACTATCCAGCTGCATGTCTGTTCTGCTTGTCCTGTCATTACAGAGTGACCTAAGTCTAATCAGATTCATATGTCATTACAAAAATAGCATTTGAAAGCAGCTTACATTGCTGCGTAACTAGGCTTTTGTTTAAGTGTCTTTTTAGTTTCAGATCCTGTTGATCCAAACTGTAAATCACTCTTGGCACTTAATTAGTTTGTTTGTAGCTTGAATTTGTTTTGAAATTATCAGTTTTCAAATCAGTATTTAGGACCTTTTCAATTATTCTATGCAAGCCATGTAGGAGGCACATGCTCTTCTTCTTATATACAAGACTCAAGTTCATCCTATCCTATTAGAGATTATTGTCTCTATATATGTAGAAGTTGAACAAGCTTAATGTTGTAATTTAAAATCTAAGCAATTTAGGTGCCAGACGACTGCTTTGGGCTTCCGTTGCTCTGTGAAGTTTGGAGTTCCTTTAAAAGAGTTGAAAGACTTCTTTCTTCCCAAAGTCTGAACYTCTTTTTATAAACTGCAGTCCTTCAGAAATATGGAGCAGTGCAATGGTGTTGCACTGAAAAAATATTCAGAAAAAAAATATTCATAATCAGCAGTGAGGACCTGAATYTCAGTTATATCTGAAGTGTAATAAACATTTCTGATCCTCAGAAKGTGATCCTTACTGAAGTATGGAAAATAACTTTTCTGCTCTCTCTTTTGTTTTTTTTTTAAAAGGAGAGCCTTTGGGAGTGTAAGAATGTGCATGCATGTGTTAGATCCCGTGTCCATAACAAGAAAGAGGGAATAGTGCAGCTCAAGGCTTGACCAATGGCTATGTGGCTGTTTTGGYTCTGATATTCAGATACATCATTTGAATTATATTGAGTTATTGGATATTCGACCGTATCACCAGGCTTAACAGGTAGTTGAAGAGTGCAAACTATATCCGGCCAGATGCTCTTAAATTGGCTGGGTCACAGTTTAGAGCAAGGCTATCTTCACTCCCTTCACCACCCCAGAGATGCAGATCTGCAGGTCAGTGATGCACAAACTGTAGGATATGTGTTGCAGGATTTGAAGAGCACAGAGGCATTGTGCACAAAACAGGACACTATATTCCTTCTTTATTCTATGCTTGAGAAACTTAGGCATCACAGGGGACATGGTGGGGAGGGAGACCCTAAATTGTCTTCCTGAGAACTGGAGCAGCAATGGTCAAGAACTGTTGGCATTACAGTAAAATTACACCACGCTTTGTCTCTGAGTTCTCCTCTTCATTGATTTTTGCTTTGTTTTAGAAGAAAGACAAGAATCAAGAAAAACAAATGATATCGTGTCTGGAACAGACGCCTGGCAGTCAGCATCACTGTCAAGATTTTGCTTGTGACTTTGGTGCACTCTTGCTGTGTAGTCACAAATGGCCCGTCTTGCTTTCTGCCTGGTGGGACATCAAGCCTTTCCTTCCAGGAGCATCTTTGCCTTCTGTGTTGTGATTTTTCAGGCTTTAAATATAAATAATCCTTTAGGAATGTGAAAAGCCCCAGTTTCTATCAGTAATTAGGAGTCTAGTTGCGTGATTGACAGGAAATRGACTATTCATCCTAATGCTTTGGCAAGATCCCACCTGACTCAATCTGTTCACTGCTTTCTATGTTCTTTTTTGGAGGTGACATCAGCTCCCTGGATGTTGCTCTGCGAAGGCAGAGCACTGATCTGGATAAACAGTACTGGCTCTCAAGTGTAGCTTGTGTGGGGGAATATAGGGCTAAAGGAATTAAATGCACTTGGAGCACTTAAAAATCCTTCAGCAACTTCCACTGGGTTGCTCAAAATGCTTGATAGCCCTTTTGCTTTCAGTCCTCCATCTGAGACTCCAGTGACTGCTCTGCTAGGTGCTTCCCTGCTAGGGAAGAGGCAATTCTAGATCAGCTCTTGTGAAGAGTATATTTGTAACTCTCCCAAGGACAGCCTTGTCCTCCCTCCAGCAGGTTGGTCCACTCACAAAACTGGAAACCATTTTGGATATCAACTGGGTCATTGGAGAACATAGCCAATATTTCCATGTAGTCAGAGAAGAGGCTCAGCAGTGCAAAACAGTGTGTCTTTCCCATGACTTTTTATTCCTAGTGGTAATTATCCTGTATGTATTTTAAAGTTCCTATGATTAAAGTCACATTAATAATGAGGTTTAATGCATGGAAGGCTGTCTGGTACTTATTTGTCTTATTTCACTTTATCATGTTTCATTTACTTTATAACCAATTGTCATATACCATACCTTACAAAGTGATCATCCTTTTACTTTCATCTGGAAACATTTGAGCCAGAATTGGAAATAATATTCAATTTCTCAAGAGAAAAAAGTAATTTCTATCAGGTATCCAAAGCCATGTGTTAGATGTTAATATATAGGCCAGATGCAATACACAGTCAAGTCTTTTCTAAATTCTCGTGGGAAGTAATTGTTTTCTCCTTGGTAGCTCTGATTTAACACAGCTGTGTTCAGTTGTAAGTTGATGAAATGGAACTGCACCAGTTGTATTTACAGGTATGTTTTTTCTCAATATGACCAGCATCTCACATGTCCCTCTTCACCCCATGTACTTCAGAACAACTTGAAATACATCACCAACTCTCTCTCTCTGGGAATTGCAGGGATGCAGGATTTCAATTACCTCAGCAGCAATTGCTTTGAAATCACAGTGGAGCTTAGCTGTGAAAAATTCCCCCCTGAAGAAACTCTGAAGGGCTACTGGGAAGACAACAAGAACTCGCTTATCAATTACATTGAGCAGGTAAYACCAAAAAGAGGGTGGTGAAACTCTAGTCGTTGTTCATGAAACTTCTAACCATTGCATTGTATAAAAAATCTAGTTCAAAATCCCTTTTTAATCCAATTGCCGCTATATAATTGAGGTGACAAATCCTTTGYGATCTTTCTAAAGATAAGGAAGAAGGGAGCAAAAGAAAGAAGAAGAATTAATCTCACGCTATTTAAGCTGTTACAGATATTTAATTTACATGATTTATATCAGCTCCCTCAATGAGAATAAATGCACATCTCCAGAGTAGAATTGCTTCCCCCAGTGCTACTGTGTAGGCCAGGAGGAGATGGATTGCCCTCTACAGATAGGAAAGTGTGTTTACAAAACATGGGATGAGTTGCTCTGGCCACACGGGGATGACTAGTTTAGTTTATAGCTGTCTGGCAGCTCATTTTAACACTAGTGGAGGACTCTAATCCTGGTTTTGTAAATACTCCCCAGCTCTGTGATTCCATCGACTGCTGAAATTAAGCGCAGAGCCATCTMGGTGATTAAAGAGAATGATTCAATTAAAAATAACATGGGATCAGGTTAGAAGTCTGAAGCMCAGTCATGGGTCTAGATAACCTTGTGCAAATGGGTTGTTAGAAGTTAAGATTTCTGAAATCCGTTTTTTTTAAGCATTTAATACCCTTGTAACAGACCAAACTGAAAACATATTTCCAAACAGTGTGGGAGTTTGGGATTTATGAAACCTTGAGGTTGCAATGAAAGATGATGGATAGATCTGCTGTCATTAACAGGTGCTCATCTGGGACTGTGAAACCAGAAATATACCTTGTTGAAAGAGCTAGTCAAGTAACAGGAGCATTTTTTAAAGAATTTATTTATGCAGGAATGATTATTTGGCCACATAGAAAAAATGAAGTAAATTCAGGCAGTAGSATGTGTATATGCTGAGGGAAAGGCTGTATTTGCACTGTAGGTTTTTACCCATTTAAGACAAGGTCCCAMTCTCTGCTACCCTGCACTTGTTTAGCTCCTTTGCACAAGGCTTAATTTTCTGTAACTCACTGAAAACCATGGTGCCACTGCATTCTCATAGCTGTTAAAGAGTGACAGCTTAACTTGCCAACTTCCCTTGCTCCTGTGGAGCTGCCAGCTTTACCCTGTATGTTCAGGTGGTTTATCTGGCACTGCTTTTTAGAGAGCAGTGCAGACTTAGAGACCTAGTTCTGCAGTCCATCTCTCTAGTGCTTAGTGTAGAGGATGGTACAAATATGTATTTTCTGCTTTTCTAAGTTGATGTCTGCCAGGCATGTCCCAGTGTAAATTAGAGTAATTGGGTCAACGCAATTATAGCAACTGAATACATAATATAGATTTTTAAAAGAGAACGTCCAGCTCTGAGATCAAGATTGAGGAACACAGCACAGAGAGTTTAGGCATTTCACACCAGGTTCTTGTACATTGCCCATGTAAGTCCAAGTGTATTAATTCACCCTTKTTCCTGTTTGTCTTCCAAGCAGTTATATCCTTTATTAGCCCTAAAGTCTTCAATTAGCTGAAGAAACTAAAAAACTGTTTTCAAATTACCTTTCAAAACATTCATTAATTCCCAGTAACAAAGTGTTTCAAGTGAATGTTCATTTCTGACATGCCATATGGCTTTATTTATTTATTTGTTTATTTATTTGCTTATTTATTTATTTGCTTATTTATATATTTATTTATTAGATTCATCGAGGAGTGAAGGGATTTGTTAAAGACCTTCAGGGCAATCCGATAGCAAATGCTACAATCTCCGTTGAGGGAATAAGCCATGATATTACATCAGGTGAGTGTCGTACTTCCAGAGAATGAGAAGTGCTAGAGTCTAAGCATTGAAGCTTATTTAAGTGAGCAAATTTTGGTGCCAGGAAAGCATGTTGTGCCTCCAGAAAGTTGTTAGCTGCAGGATTTCAGGCATTTTCCTATTCTGTTTGCTTTTAAAGGAGCTAAAGGCTGGTTGTTGGGATTCTCTCACAGCTCTCGGTTTCAAGTCATTTTGTATGGTTGTTGGTGACTCATGCTTAGCTTGCCTGCTGATTTGAGCTTCAGGTTCTGGCAGGATTTAACGTCCTGCTTGCAGTGCCATTTTGAATAAAAAAGCTAAATTGCCTTCCAAATCTCTTATATTAGTTACAATGGGATCATACCTTTGGTATGTCAGTTCTTGACAGAATTTCAGTTTACATAATTTCCTTCTGTGAAGAAAAATTCTACCTGCTCTTTACAATTATGCAACATGCTTTTCTCTTTTAGAACTATCCTCCTAAAAATACTGTGTTGGCGTTTATGCAAAGTTGTGTGTCACCTCCTCGCTGTTGTTGCACTCACCTAGTTCTAGAAGTAAATTTAAAGGTAGTGTGCACAGTGGCAGCTTGAAGTCCCACATCCCTGTAGACCTATGCCTTCTCATTTTGAAAGACAATGTTGTATTTGTACAAAATACCGATTAGAAAAAAATAATAATAAAATGCCAGTTTTGCCCATGACCTTGCATTATGGCCATTTTCTTACCAATGTGTCTCAATGTGCAGTATTACAGAGGCAGAGAGTATGGTGACAGGGGACGGATTAGYCCCCCAGTTGGCTTCTCCTTGTATTTTTTCCCACATCACCTACAGCATTTCTGCCAAACAGGAGAATAGCTTGTAATAGCATGAACCATTTTCTTTCACTGTATATCAAAAGGGAGCAAACCATAAAGGCTGGGAATGGACAGACAGAATTTCTGAAGAGGGAATAAGTGGTAAAAAGAGATATTTTGGGGCATTGAAGACTGATACAGCTGATATTACACCTCAGGCTACTGTGGTGCAGGAAAGCATCTGGACATGAATCCTCTCACGTCACTGTGTGTGTATATGCCTGAGAGACACTTATGGTCAAAACATTRAGAAAATAAACACTCAAAGTTTAGGAGCTTCAGAAAGAGAGATAAACATGTTCATTTTTTTTTCCCCTGCCTCTTCTGAAGTGGACTGACTATCGACATTTTCTGACCATATGAATTGCAGACATTTAAATAATACTTTCCTCTGTGCTTGCACATTTCCAATGTCCCCATGCAGCTGCAGAAGTGCAGAAAAAGTGAACTAGCAGTAATGACTCTGTCCGTAATGTCCCAGAGTGTCCTTTTCCTCCATGTGCCAGAGAGTCTTCAACCTGAAAAATGCARAATCTTTCATGGAGTGGGTACAGCACAAATTCAGGGTATAAATTTTTGGTTACCTGAAGCAAAGCAAATGTGTGATGTTATATTTACACAGCAAGTATGGAAGAATCCTTTCAGACAGACAGAARAAAAGGGCTGACAGGAATAAGAAGGATGCTGAGCACAGCATACAGCCCCTTTTCCTTAGCTTTGTAATTACTTTTGTGCATACTTTCCTGGAGCTGATATTTTCTGCTTCCCTACAGCCAAGGATGGTGACTACTGGAGGTTGCTTGTGCCTGGAAATTACAAACTTACAGCTTCAGCACCAGGTTATCTAGCAATAACTAAGAAAGTAGCTGTCCCCTATAGCCCTGCGGTTGTGGTAAGTGCTCACATGTGTGTTGCTTGATTTTTTATTATAAAAAAATTCTCTCTTTTTTTTTTTTTTTTTTCTTTTATGGTATTTTTATATTCTGAAACTACATTGCCACTCCTGGTAAATTCCAGTATATATTAATTTGGAAATCAGTCTGGAAATATATTCATTAGGTAAACCACTAGGAATACTCTCTTTTTAAACTCTTCTGCTTTCATCTGCTATTGGCCTTGTTATGACACAGAGAAGATAATGTTGAGATAATTGTACTTGTTTTTATTTATGTATTAATAGCAAATCAAGTAGAAAATTACCGAACGCCTTTACATAAAATGGCACACAATGAAGAAATGTTGAAATTTTCATTGGGGCTTGATGCTTTTAATCTAAATTGTCAGGTAACTACCTGGATAGGTTAAAACCTGTTCAGCTCCATGTGGAAGGATAGTGAGGAAGCTCTATACCATACAAGCTGTATACATGGATACTCAATATTTTTGATGAATGAGATACCGTATTTAAGAGTTCAGAAACATTCTCAGTTTCTCCTCTGCACAGGTGTGGATTCCACATTTAAAAATTAAAATAGTTGCTCCTTTCTTAGTGTATATTCTGTTTTAGGATAAATTATGAGCATATCATGCCTGTACTAACGAGACATTTGTTAGAAAAGTTCCCTGAATTTTCCTGGTGATATAGAATAGAAAGCACATTTTGATATGCCTGAAAGTCTGCATTTGCTAGGTGTTAGACAACAACACACCGACAGTAAATTTTAACATATATTAAAAGATTTAGGMTGTTACTCAATTCCTAATTATCTAGGCCCCTATTTTTGAAGTGTTTATACAAATTAAGGACGGGACAGATGTCTGGCTTCTTTTGGAAACTTTCCTGCTGTAGCTATCTGCATTTTTAGATATGTTTATTGTCCTGGTATGCAGGTACCACGCATTAAATCAATCTTTGGTGGAGGGCGGGGGAGAAGGAGGGAGACACTAGAATGAAAGGTCCTTAGCTCCTTGTCCATGTTAAATTGTTAAATACCTTCTTTCAATGTATGGCTCTAAAAACTTACACTTGTCTCTCACTACATATACTTACTAGTGTTTTTGACTCTCTCTGTTACTCAGGTTGATTTTGAACTGGAGTCATTATCTGAAAGAAAAGAAGAGGAGAAAGAAGAGTTGATGGAATGGTGGAAGATGATGTCGGAAACACTAAATTTTTAAAAGAAAATTCTGGCTTTCCAGCTTTTAATCTATTCTATGTTGACTTAGTATAATGTACTGTGGAAAGTCCATATATTTTAGATATTGTGCACTTCACAATTAATAACTTCGATTTCTTTTTCAGACATCTTTTAATTAATATGATTAAAAATTATTATTAGACACCTAGCTAGATAAATAAGTTATTAATTTTCTTTCATATTGTTATAGAAAATTTACTCTTCTATACAATGCAGAAAAAAAATGAATGAATGTCTCTGCCACATATACAGAAGTACAATCTCTTGTGTGTCATTTGCAAGTTGAGAATGTGTAGGTTAACTCTTGATTTTAAAAAAGAAATATGCTGTAGTCAGTTCCCAGTATTGCCAGAAATATTTGACAGTGCATAGTAGTAGACAGTGCTCCTTACTGAATTATATAATGAATGTTATTGAAAAGACTTATAATTATAACAGTGTGGTGGTGTAATAATGTTTCACAAGGATTAAAATTCAGTATAACATTTTGTATGTCTCTGGCGTCGGGACTATTTAAATATGTAAGAAACATAAGCTTCTGACTTCGTGTTAGCAAGTGGAGAGAATTTGCATAAGCTCTTTCATTAAAAGATGGCATGAAATGAACCAAGGGAATAACAGGTCTTTATTCCTTAATCTGCTAATGATACTTCAAGGATACCTTTTAGTTATTTTTCTTTACTTATCAACCAAATTAAAAATTCTGAATGGATGAAGAAGAAAAGCTCATGCGTTTTGTTACTATGCTGCTTGCATTCATATTTTACAGCAAGAAAAAATAATTGTTTTGGGTGATGTCTGTTCTGTCTAACTATTTTATCAACAATGTTTAAATGTGTTAATTCTAGATGTGTAGCTGAAAGTTCACATATTCACTGAAAGCTTCCAAAACTTCACAGTTTAGAAAATGAACAAGAATATATACTAATGACAGGCATTTAGCCACAAAAGGCAAGAATGGGTTTGTTTCAACTCTGTTTCTTCTGCTGGATAGTCATATCTCAATTTAGAAAGAAGAAAGGAAAGCAGAAAATTTATCAATATAGTGAATTTTACTGAGGCATTCAAAGTTAAAAAAAAAAAAGATTCTTTAGATATAAAACAATCTTTAAGCCTCTCTTTTAAAAGTGCTCTAAAATTAAATTTCTTTAGTACTTTGTCTCACACGAGTGAAACATAGGAGTAGAAGAAAACACATGAGCCATCCAAACTTTCACGGGTGCAAATTTGACATAATTCTTTTGAAAACACTGCCAGTATTCACCTTAAGTGAAAAATACATGTTCCGAGTAGGATCCAAATTTACCTTCTTTGGGTATTTAAAAATCTAACAAAAATATTCCTTTTTTATGAATTTGGAATTCTTTAGTATGAATAGAGCTTGAACTTTTATACCAAAAGGATCAAGGTGCCCAGTTATGCACACTCAGTTATTTGTTACAAGGCAGCTTGGAAGAGTAGGATACAAAACACACTCTGTCTGCTGGGAAATAACAATACTATTTTTTGACTGAACTGGGTAAAATTAAGACAAATAGTGTAAAAAGTAACCAAAAAGGGGATGGCTGCCATGTGGGCAAATGGCTACAGGAKAGTTTCTGGCCTGCAAATCAGTGTAATTTGGCAAGTGTATATTTGTACAGATCACCCTGCTCTGCAAACTTATAATTTCAGTCCAAGCAATATTATTACATGGTGCAACTTTTGTCATGCATCTACCACCTGTGTGGTAGATATTCTTTCCTACTTACTGCTGGCATTATATCAAACTGATCTCATAACAGATTTCTAATCCTTATATTACATGTATAAGATCCTCTAGCCATGCATTAGCAATTACATGTAGTTTCCCATAAATGATCTCCTGGTTTTACTTTGGAAAATCCTATTAGCTTGCTCTAACTGTGGTCAGACGGGTTATAGTAATTAAATGTTACAACACCAGAACCACTGCCACTGTTCTTGCTGTAAGTAAACATTTTTAAGAAGAGCGTAGCCAGGACTCTCAGTAAATAATTCCTTATGTAGCTTTTCTAGCTTACGTGAGCTGTGTTGTAGGACTGTGTATATCTAAATGGAAGATTCAAGTGTTGTGTGATGCTGAGCTTTTGGTTAAAAAGCCACGTGGTGTGCTATTGTACAATAAATCTACAGGTTTATTTAAAAATGTAAAAATGTGTGAATAATTTACAGGCTCAGAACACTTTTTGGCCATGCAGGTCTGCAGAGTGCATAATCCTCCTTGGTGAGATGTGTATACCAATGAATTTTTAAGGTAAACAGAGATTCAGCACTGGGATTAGTGCCTGTGTCCTACTGAGAGCAACCCACAGCCCTTAACTTTATGGCAGAATATTTGGATTATTCTTTTGGATTATGTTTCCTTACATTTTTCCCCCATGCAGGTTTTCAAGTCTCCATGGGGAGGTATGAGATACTCAACATCCGTACAGCATTACTGGGGACAGTGTGTACCCATCAGATTTCCCTTTTTGTAGTATTTACAATTTTATTCTTTTTCCACATTAATCCTTAGGATTCGAAAGAATAGTTTACACTAAAACTGGGTGGTCCTACACATTCTTGTAATTCTAAATCCAGTGGCCAGGACTATAATAACGAAGTGCATGAAAAAAAAGCACTGGATCTGCAGTGTTTGTCCTTTTTCCTAGGTGGTGGTGTTCACCGTGATATGTCTGAACAGAAGCATGCTCATGGCWATTTCTGAGCAGACAATAACACCAATTAAAATGTACATTACAACTAAAGGTGATGCACAAGAAGTAGGGGAGATAGAATTGCTACCAATTTCTTATTTTGTGGTGTTTCATCAGTATTCATCTGATAAATAGCCCGTTAGAAGGAAGAGGATTTAAAGGATGACCTKCAGTGAAAGGTGGCATGTTGCTTCTTTGTAGCTCGAAGGCACTGCAAAATCCAGAAGCATCACTCAGTTCTTTCTGACTCTCCGAGTCTTGCAGAGGGCCAATATTGATCATCATCTTGAAGGTATTACTATAATTACTGCAATTACCTGTTATATAGAGTTACACATGTTGGGAATAACTTGCTGCTGCTGGTGTGGCATCTGAGCCATCAGATGAAGCCATCAACACAGTCTCTGTTCCAGAGTTTGACTTCTGTAATTAAACCAGAAAACAAACACACCCAAGACATTTTCTGAAAGTCATGGTATGAAAGCCCAGTGGGATTGGCTTCTGAGGGTTTGGAGTGAGTTTGTGTTAAGTTTCCAATTTTTAAGTCTGCTTTAGGAGGAGAAGAAAGAGAAAACTGAGAAGCTGATGTAACCCAATGCCTCCAGAAGCTAAGGTTTTAAGCAATGTAGGAGGATTTGGAGCAGGCACTATTAAAAAAATGAAAGCTCTAGAGACATCTGCTATTACTAACAGCGATACTGGGAGCTGTAATAAGTTCAATGGTCTTGTAGTGTTGATCTTTTTTCTACTCTTTTGCCTCTCTGATTCCTAGCTATCATATTTCAGCAGTGGCTTAAACATGCCTTTGATTAGGCTTTATCTCAATGCTCTAGTTTCCCTGAATTAATGGTTAAGACTTGTATGTTATTTTATCTTTGTCCCATTTCATACTAAGTTAAGTCGCCACAGATTTTTATAATCACGCATCCTTCTGTGCAACAGTGGAAATTGTCAAAGATGGAAGCTGAAGAGTTTGGCTCCTGTACTCGGAATGTTGAGGGAATTTGGCATCCGGGAATACACTGGAAGGTGCTTAGTATTGTGAAATAAGTACAGTTTCTAGATTTTTATGCTAATCATTGTTCAGTAAAGGTCTGAGTAGGATTATGGGTCTAAGGGATCCTCGGAGTGTAATATGTCTGTGACTATAAGGCTTTAGCTAAAGCTGCTCTGGAAAGATTCCCATTAGCATCACTGGGGTTTTTATCAGAACCTCAGTCTGCAACCTCATTAATGGGAACTGTCTGTAGCCAAGGTTGCTCATTTTGGATTAGCAGTACTTGTTCCTTACTTTTTTCCAGAAGGAAAAAGTATGAAATAATAAAGAAGGAATTAGGCTTATTTTCACGAAGTGAAATCACCCTTGTTTAAGGGTTATTGCAAGAGGAAAAGAAGAAATAATGGAGATTAACATGACTAGTGGCATGCTACTGCTCAGTAAGCCTCTGAACCTCTGTTCTCTAGAAGGTAGGAGGATAAATCAGGGGACATTTTTATTGTGTTCGCTGAGAAGGATGTGATCAGGGCCATCACCAGAGGCAATACTGAGCTAGATGAACTTGTGACCTAATGGATGAGGAGTAACAGTAAAGGAGATAACACCATTGCAATACCTGCCAATAGTCTGAGTTTCTCCAGTCTTCTGAGGAGCGTGTTCTGGTATCCAAGCGTGCAGAGTCAGCATCCCTCTTGCACATTCCACCACCTCCAGCTCAAAAGATAAATTAAACACGTTTCAGAAACTATARACAAGATTCAAGAACAGCCTTGGCAGCCAAGAGCAGTACAATATTGGTTTATGGTTTCTTGCCTCCCTTCAGCTCACTAAATAGCTGCTCATGGGAGCCAAGCTGCTCATGCTTGGCTGCCTGTAGTTCTCTCACAGGGCATGTCAGAAAYTAACCCAGGCTGAGCAGCTCAACCTTGGCTTGCGTCAAGACCTGCCAGGACCAGCTTGCAGGGCACTCTTGTATCTAAAGGCCCTGAAGTTACATTTGCACCATGCGGAGGTGCCCTCTGGCAGGTCCTGATGTCCTGGCATCAGAAGTCCTCAGTTCTCCAGGACAGGGGCTTGATCASAGCAATACCTCAGGCCACTTCTGGCCTATGTGCCTTGGTTCCTTCCCATGGAGGCAGACAAGTGCCGCAGCTCGCTGATGGTGTAGGAGGGAGGATCTGGCCTCTGTTCCTGGCTCTGCAGAAGACTGTGGGAGGCACCCAGAGTTGGAGGCTGAGAGGTGCTTCTGGATCTAGAAGGTTAGACTTGGTCTCTGAAACCCAAWTTGAAAAGGAATAAGCAGCAAACCAAGAACTTAACTCTCCCTCTTCCTTCCAGAGCCAAGTAATTTATTTTAAGGTGCTTTTTGTCTGTGATGTCTGTCCTTATGTACACACAGATCAGCTTGGCCTGTTCGAGGGACTAGAATGCTTTTTAGTTCCCAGAAGCATTGGATAAAACCAGCAGCAGCTCTGGGAGGAGGACCGTGCTGGAATGGGACTGTGCTCCACAGAAATGGTTATCGTGTGGTACATGGGAAGAAATAGCTCCGATCCTGATGGAATTAGGTATTAATGACTGTAATGAAAGCTATTGGGAGGCAGTCTGAAGAACTGCAGCCCTTGTACATGTTTTTGTAATCACAGGTCCCAGAAAGATCTTATCTGCACGGAAAATATTTCAGCATCTCAAATTTTAGCTTTTGGGTGCACTGCATGGGAAGCTAAGGGGCAAGGCTTGAATCTGCAGCATCTTTTCCAGGCTAAGTGAGGCACCTAGTTGCTCAGGAACCCTTGCTGAGAGCTACTCCAGTCATCCTGAAGGGAACCTGGCTTTATAGATAGCATTTAAATCAGACATGTGAGTCCCAGGCTGCCCCATAGGGTTATGAGACAAGGGACTTCCAGAGGGCAGGGGGCAAAGCAGGTGCTCCTCAGAGAAGAGCCCCAGCAGCCAGATTAGCAAATAGGCAGGAAAACCCTGGGAAGCCCCTGCTCACAGGAACATTTAAAGTAAGAGGCAAATACTTCTAATGAAGCCGGTGACCCTGTGGAAGCGACCAAGGGGGCTACTGTCTCAGCATGATGGTACCTCTGCCCTGGCTTGATGCACCCATCTCCCTTCGATCCATTAGACCTGACTCTTTTACTGAATTTTTCCCTACAAATCCTATTTTAGTAGGATTTTTGCAAAAGAGATTTCTGAAAGGAGTTATTTCTTGTGTCTTTGTCAGGAAACTGAAAGACTAAAGAAGAAGCTTGCTTTGAGCTTTATTATATGACACATGATACTTTCTCATCCAAATAAAACCACATTCTATCCCTTTCTTTCCACGTTCACATTTCCAATTGAGAAGCCTCCACATCAGATGCCTCTTTGAGTGTATGGTAATGTGCAAGCTGTTAAACATTTGCAGAATCTTCCAATGGTTCTTGTAGTGTCCCAAAAGCTAGACATGGCTTGCAGGGGATTTCCACTGCGAAGAAATAAGACTCAGAAGATGTTCTAAATTAAGTCAGTGAATATCTGTTGGCCAGCGTACTGGATGGCATTACAAGATGCCAAGATAAATTCAAATTAATCTGGAAACTATTTGGTAATATTAGTTACAGGATTACATAAACTGCTTGGAAATTATATTAAAAAAACCCTTGGATAAATACTTGCCTGGAAAATAAAGTGTAAATGAAAAAATAAAAAATTGCTTATAAGACAGCTGAACAGAACAAGTGTCATAGGAAAATGAAATTTTTACCCAGTGTAACTTTATTTCTGGACAGCAGTAAAGTTTGTAGATATAGTCACAGACAGTTTCCAAATTAATGTCTCACAAACCTTATTTTAATTTTGAGAAAGCCAAGATGAAAAATAGAAAATACTGGGAATTCCARAAGAGAAA